GAAATGATCACGATCAAATAGGTGATCAAACGAATCCTAACATGTTTGTAGGGTGTTTGCATTCTGAAGGATTTAGGTGAATTCATTCATCAAAATTGAAGAGATGGACACACCAATTTTTTTAATTGTTGGTGTTACCACTTGATGTGTTAGGGGTACGAGTAAAGACATTTGTTCTTCTTCCATAACAAAATGCATAAATATTACTCCCTCTGTTCCATTTTATGTGAGGTAGTTTGACTAGGTGCAGAGTTTAAGAAAGAAAGAAAGATTTTTAAAATTTGTGGTCCAAAATGAATGATAGAAATTTGTGTGGTCGTAAATCATTTCATTAAGGGTAAAATAGACATTTTATAGTTAAATTGTTATTTAATATAGAAATGTGTCATTCTTTTTGTGATTGACTAAAAAGGAAAGTAAGTCACATAAATTGAGACAGAGACAGAGGAAGTATATGTACCTAGCTATATTCAAGGTCGGTCAAAAAGATAATGAAATATCAGTGACTATTCATATATCATTTCCCCGTTAACGTGTTTCATCTAGTATGTACAATAAATGTAGTGCTAACTGCTAAAATCTTCATGTCACAAATTAAAATACATCTCTACCGACCACTTTGTTTAATATTCTATCTTTTTATGTTTAATGTCTTATACTCATATTAGATCTTGAGTAATCTAAATTCGTTTTAAAAGTGCTCTCTAGCTAACAAAATTAAAATGCCTGATGGACTAATAAAACCAATTCAAAGACTTTCTAATGCATCATGATTCATGACCATGCTTTGAGTCAATCTTGCATGCTTTTTTTTTTTAGAAAAGCCTTATTTCACTAAAAATATATAATGTAATATGTATGTTTAATTTTTTCGCACTCCTGTTTCAATTACTTAACTACTAGTACTATTTTATGTAATCATTTAATATTAAGTATAGTATGAAAAAATAGTAGTCATAAAATTCTCTTCATGATTTTCTTTAATAAATCAGTAAAATAAAATATTTATATTTGATATATATGAGCAAAATAAAATGAAACAAATTCCGATATAAAACTTTTTACTCCCTTCATTATTCAGATACAAATAGGCTTCCTGCATCCTCAAGGATATATCAACAGCATGATATGAAAATATTCCCACTTAACCTATACAGGGGCGTAGCTACTATAAGTAAAATGATACACGAAGTGATTAAATAACATATTTTGAACACCCTTGATAGAACAAGGTGTTATAGCCTAGTGCTTTTAGATGCTTTGGAAGAGCCCTAAGTACTCATGTATTCAAATCTCACTAGCAATAAAAAAAAATCCTTTTTCTTGGACACCTTTGATGAAATTCCTGGCCCCGACACTGAACCTAGCTATATCTAATTGATCAGTCTGTTTTATATATATATATATGAAGCATGCATGTGGAAGAAACTATGGGACATGTATAAACGCGATATATAAAATGTTGGATGACATACATATGTATATATCAATGTACGTAAAAAGGTTTTTCACTTTTTGCATAGTACCTTTAAATAGAATAATGTTTGTTAAGGATTTTCAAGATAACAGATGGTGGAACCAAGCGAGAAACCAGGAGCGATTAACCACAAAACCATAGTTTTAACTTCATACGAGGACAAAGCCAATGAATAATTACCTTGGTCGATACAAATATCGGACAGGCTCTTGCTTCTTTGTATCTCTCGTTCCTCAAATATGTCTCTTTCAAATATATTGGGTCCCAAACATATAATATACTCTCTTCTTCTCGTCTAAGTTATGTGAAAATATTTAACTGAACAAGAAATGTTAAAATATTTAGGTAGTTATATATAGCAATATGTTTTTTTTTTTAAAAAAAAAAACATATTGCTATATATAACTACCTAAATATTTTAACATTTCTTGTTCAGTTAAATATTTTCACATAACTTAGACGAGAAGAAGAGAGTATATTATATGTTTGGGACCCAATATATTTGAAAGAGACATATTTGAGGCCACCCATATCTTTATTTTGCCATCTTACTCCTATCTCCCTTACATTTGCATGTTCTCCTATCAAATCCCTTTAAGTTCTTCCATAGTCAGCATTTAATGCTCATTTTTCTTGCTTAGAGTATTTATATATTGGTAGTACGCACAATCTTCATTCAAAAATTCAGCAAAGTACCAACAATTAACAATTTTAATTTCATCTTGTTTGAATCAGTACTTCAAACATATATATAGTAGAACCAATTAACGGGGATTTTCATTTCAAATGTCAATCACCAAAATCACTACTCTTCTCATGATGATTTTCCTTCTTTTTCATGCATGTAATGCTCGCTCACTTGGTGTCCTCAACAAGGTTTGTTTTATTTCTATCTATTAATATTTTCACTTTACTTCTTGATCTCTAAGAAATAAGTAATAACGATAATATAACAATTACAATAAGTAGGATAAGAGGGAGTTGCTCGGATGGTAAGTACCCCTCACTTCCGACTTTAGAAGGTTGTGATTTTAGCCCTATTTGCGTAGGATTACAATTTTAAGATGAAGGGGATTCAATTGAACTATTTTTTTTTATGGCTCCGTTGTTGCCTCTATGTCATGGACAACGAATATTCATATAACCAACCCTTACCTGCCTATCGTTATAACTCTATTTCTAAGACAATTTGTGTATCAATTATATCTTGATATATTTGCAATTTAAATAGTAATTTCTCTCTTATCTTTTTTGTTTTTGTTTTTTGCAGAATGAAGAGAAACCAAATAATGGTAGGGTTTCCAGTACCCCATGGGATGTAAAAGCAAAACACTCATCAGGACAGCCAAATAAAAGTGTCAAGGAAAATAATGAAAAAGATGATGATCATCATCACTATGGAGTTTCAGTCACTTGGAGGGTTCATCAACAGAAAAGGGAAGATCCACCACCAGAGTTTAACCTGGATTATTTACCAGCAAGAACACACCCTCCTGTTCACAATTAGTTAACAGGCCCCGCGCGCGCGGATGATTAGTTTTCTGATCCAGTATCTAACATGAATTTTGGAGGAAGTTAATTCATTTTATCATCATGAAAACCAGTTTGAGTACATTAACTAATTTGATCCCAATTTGAAGTTGTTGGGCTCTTTTTGATGGCTGATATATATATATCCCATGAACTTTTATAACTTCTAAGTTCATATTAGAGTATGTACGTGCGTACGTACCACTGTTTTCTATCTAATGTATATTAATTCTACTTATAATGGAAATTTGAGTTTGAGTTCTTGAATAGTTCATAGTTAACTATATGCTCCAGCTCCTTAATTAGTATAGGTTTTAATTAACAGTCTTATCTATTGGTTGTTAATGTAATTTTACATGCATAGAGTAATCCTAAGAAATGGTCATATCAATCCTATAATTAATTAGTATATAGTTGCATTTTGGATCATTTTCTTCAATGCGTCAAGCTAATAATTTGTAGTATTATTACTATTTATAAGCAAGCATTTCCTTATACCTTAGCTATAACGTTCTCATAATTTTGCATGGGGCCACACTTTTCACATGTTAAATTGAAGAACCTCTTAATCATGAATTGTTGCAAAAGTGAGAGTACTACTTTTCTTGTTGAATTTGGTCTCCAAGCAGAATTGTACAATTTTTTCTATGCTGATATATATATATATGGCAACAGACACATATTCCCAATTATACAATGTCAAGTAGTCAATATAATTCCATCAGAATTTGTTACATATCGTCAAGGTAGTTAATTGTAACTCTGATAAATTATACTAGGGACTTAACAATTACTATATATTTACCATTCATTCTAATTGTGTGAAGATATTTTACATTGTTCATATCATAATATGTGAGTCAGGACTAGGACACGTATACAATGGTTTGTTGAAGAGGAGCAATAAGGACAAGAATGGGAGTAGAGACTAGAGAGGGGTAGGTATTGATTGGCAAAAAAAATGGGTGGTAAAATGTTTGTACACGTTCGTTAATTTGAATAGGAACTTGCAGTCTTATCGTATATATTTTAATTTCTTTTACGTACTAAGAATATATTTTCCTGTATTATATTTGGCTTTTCTCTTCATCTATAATCAATTATATTGTTGTTTCTAGCTGTTGATATATATACCAAGATCCGTAAATGAAATTAAATCAGTGGTGACATAAATCAGAAAAGATCCTTTGCAAGTTCTAATTGAGTAGAACAATAATATGTAGTAATATATTCTGTTCTAGTATGTCATTCTCATATCATTAAGAATTTAATGAATGGACCTCTTTCATTGTTTGCACCAAATTGACCCAAAAAATCATAAGCGAAAAATTTTGTCAAAATTTTTAAAAGAGCATATCAAATTTTTTAAAATCAAAAGGGTAAAATCGCTTCTGACGAAGCAATTTTTCTTTGACACAATATTGACGCCGTTACATGTGAATGTTTGAGTTACAATTAAAAAAAAAAAAATTAGAGGGGGAATTTCGCTGCCTTGTCAGCGATATTTAAAAAAAATATATATATATTTTTAATAAAAACGCTGCCAAGCGATTTTCAAAAAAAAAAAATCTTAAGAAAAAACGCTGCCCAGCTATTTTCAAAAGATTTTTTTTAAAAAAAAAAACGCTCCCAAGGCATTAATAGATTTTGTTTTTAATTGTAACTCAAACATTCACATGTAATCGCTTCGTCACGAGCGATTTTGCCTTTTTGATTTAAAAAAAAATTGATGTGCCCTTTTGGAATTCTTGACAATTTTTTTCCCCTTTTGACTCCGGACTTGTATATATTCTATTCTAGTATGTCATTCTCACATATCATTAAGAAATTAGTGAATGGACATCCTTCATTGTTTGCACCAAATTGACCCAAAAAATCATAATTTTTTGGCGGAACTAAAAGAAAAGAGCAAGTAATTAAAAATTAGGCATGGCAAAATGGTTAATTAAGCGAGACTATAAATGACAGGAAGGACAACCTTTAAGAAGAGGTGTTATCTAACATCGCTTTAAAAATAATATGTATTTAAATTGAACGATACATATACATATAGTAAAACAAATACCGCTTGAAAATAATACAAAGTAAATACTAACAATTTGTGAGGAACAAAAGCCACAAGACGACCAACATAATTTTAGACTCAAACTCATTTACAAAGTCGAGATAATAGATCGACACTGCTTGCGTAAAATCCTGTATACGCCACTGATTAAGCACATTTAAAGCCTTTAGGCACTTTCTTTCCACAAGAATTCAGAACTACACTGATGGCTATAGGAACTTTAAGCTTAAGGACACCCAAAACATTGGCATTTATGGCAGTGCATAAGCACAAAGCAGCTTCAACATCTGCTATTCCTTCTAAAAGAGCACAACATTTGCTACTTGGTTTTGCCCCAATGACTTCATGAACTAGCCCAAGCCAATCTCCACAAATACCAAACTTTAGGGTATCTTTGGGGCACTTGGATGGTGCTTTTGTTGGTGTTGGAGGGCATGGTATATTATGAGATGAAGCACAAGTGAAAAACACTACATTGAACAAAACTAAAAAAGAAATTACCTTAGATCCAAACATTTTTAGTAATTAACTAGCTAGCTAAGCTTGTACAAATATTTTGATGAACTTGTGTACCAAATTTAGGTTGATCATTTGGGATTTATAAGGGTTCAATTTGTAGGGTACAATAGGTATCCTAATTAGTGGTCAATTATGGTTCTGAGGATAGTGTGGGGGTAACATAGATATTTGTATGAAATGAAGATAAGGAATAAATTGGAAGTGAATGAAGTTCACAATTATAGCATGTTATGTCATTTTTGGCCAACTATATAATATTACCATGTGCATTGTAGGGCTACAAGTCCTACAAAATCAATTTTGATGTCTTGCACCATCGCCAATGTGATTTAACGAGATGATTTTTGAATTCTTCTGCTTTATTCATGTGGAATTGATTAATAAGAAGGCAAATGTAGATATTTAAGTAGTAGCCTATTGATGGAGATGTTTATGTCATTAAAAATATATATTATAGGTGTGTCAGATCAGTTCTTATCATGTCCCTATCTTTATATTTTTTCTATTAACTCAAACATATTTAACCATTAGAGAAATAATGAGAAGAGAATAAATATTGAGGTGGACGGACATCTTGGTCTTAGGTGCCCTAGCACCCACCACCTCGGAAAATATTGCACACGTGATGTAGGTTTAATTAAAATAAGGATAAACTACCTTATTAGACATACATCACTATTATATATACTAATATTATCTTTACTTTCAAACAATTACATATATTACCACTTTTAATAATTTATACCATATATTAATGTATTATTTGAAGATACAATTAGATTATTAGATACCCACATACCTTAAAACTAGGATTGATTAATTATCTGCTTAATTAACTCTTTCACTCCAAATCAACCACTATCTCTTAATTCTCCCCTCCCATATTTATCACTTAATTATGTTTCCTCCTTTATGATTCACGAATTTCATCGTACAATTTCATTCCAACAATAGCTAATCTACTCTCTTCTTCTCAAGATATCATCACCATGGCCGGCAAATTCTCTTGAACCCAAATATTATTTTGTATTGTTCATTTATAACTAGATCAAATCAAAGTAACTGCTACAGAGAAAACTTTAATTCAGAGTGGTTCTTGATTGTTTGTCTCCGGAAGAAATGGATCTTAGTTTTGATTATGTTATGCCACAACGCAAAAGGATCAAAGGGAGTATTGTACAGAGTTTCTGTTTGCTGGTGTTCTTCTAAGGCTTTCTTTGGTTACCGTGACATGGATTTGGTAGTACCAGTATTACTTTGATATAGCCCTTGAAACATGTGTATCCAATAAGTAGTAATCTTAATTAAGATCTGAGTTGTATTTTTAGTAATGGGGTGTCTGATCATGTATATGTATCCACCATTAAATTTCGGATACATGATTTTTAACGACACGATGATATTAGTGATACGACAAATACTCTACAGTCGTGATTTGTTCCTAAATTCATGTGATTCAACTACATTTCATATTTAGATACACATAATTAAATGTATATGCTTATTATGTATTCGAGATACATGTTTTTGGATATAACATATGCAATTGATACTTGACACATCAAATATATATATAAATAGATACATAAAATTAATACTAGATACCTATAACAAATACATGAAATTAATGCTAGATACTTCTATGATACATATGAATGTACTTGCAGGACACTCATGTATCTAATTGTTTAGTTTGTTGGATACATAATATATTGATATAAATACATCAAATTAATTAATTTATTATTTTAAGAGTAATAATTTGAAATTAATCAAATTGCATTACGAAGATATACATGTTTTTATCTTATATTAATAATATTAATGAATTTACTATTTCAAAGAATAATAAAATGAAATTAATTATCTATGTATTTTGAAAATCCTCAATTACTCCTCTAATTAAGAAAATCAGTTCCAACCAATTAATTTAAATAAATAAATTTTTGTATCTCAATTTTAAAAATTCGACAGATACTGCATGTATCTCATGGATTCAGACTCACGTATCCTAAGCATAAAATATGGTACATGAAGTAATATTTGAAACTATTGGAATCTTAATAATTAAGACCTAAACTAGTGGGATTTATGTGGTTTGCCCTTAAAATAACGCTACTATAAAACTAAATGAAAATGGGAGCTAGTAACAAAACTTTTGCTGGTACACCGTTTCAACAAAGCGTTTTAATGTTTATTAGTTATTTTAAACCAGGGTTCGAATCTTGTTCTTATTTCGTTTTCTTTTTTTCCACTTTAACATTCTCGTAGCTTCCTTCACTTTCTTTACATTTAATTAGTCTCTTGTCGTCTTCTTAATATTCCTTCCCGTTTTAATGTATTTGTCTTACTTTCTTGCTTAGTCTATCTCAAAAAAGATGTTTCTGTTTTTTTTGGCAATTCTTTAATTTCAATTTTTTACATGACATATTTAAGACTACAAAATTTAAAAATATCTCATTTCCAAAATAAATTTAATACCACATGAACCAAAAGTCTTTTTTTATTTTCTTAACTACAAAAATCTCTTTTACTTGATCAAAATCCAAAATAGATTAGACTGACACCATATTCAACCTCCGTGGTGATAGACTCACATTAAAGATAACAGTAAATCATATAACTTTTAAATCTTAGATTCATCACTAAAAAGTACATAAAGTCCGAAGAGATGTTCTATAGACTTAAGTACTTAGGTAATTAGGTACGACTCTCATCGAGTCCTTCTCTTTATTTTTCTTCTAATTTGACTATTTGAGCTCTTGTCCTCACAACTAGAGAAAAGAAAAGGAAAAATATAATTACTAGTAGTTTTTTACTTTTTTATAATCATGGTATTAGGACTAAATTTGCACGCACCTCAGTTAATTATATAAGATACCTTTTGCCTAGCTCTCATCAACACAATTACAATTGCTGAGTTACTTTGTCCACAAGATATCAATGAATAAAAATAAATCGCTTAATTTTATTGGGTCCACGGGTTATAAGATAGAAATGAATTCATCGACTTTTTACTGATAATCTTATTTATAAAAATCTAAACTAATACAAATCACATCACTATCAGCTCCTTCCTTATCTGTATTAGTATGTTAATTATCCAATCACCAACATATACATGGTGATGTTGAAAGTCAAAGATTTCCCTTCTTTAATTTACACAGAGTTGGAAAGTTGACTCTTGGAGAAGGGGTTATTATGACCATTATTTTAAGTACAAAAATAAATAAAATGAACTTGGAAGACAAGATATCCAATTTAGAAACAGTTTCATGTATTTCCCAATTGATATAAATACGATAGCCCTCATACAAAACTAGTAACTAAGGCACAAAGACAATTAACAAAATTTCAATTAATATCTACAATCATAAATGGGCCGTGGAAGAGGCTTTACATTCATTTTGGGCTCTCTTTTTGGAATCTATGTTGCCCAACACTACAGAGTTCCAAGAATAGGTGACTGGGCCCATTCTAGTTGTGTCAAGGCCCGTGAGCTTGAACAGGCCTATCGCAGGCCCGAGAATCTCAATCCTAATGAACGTCATCGGGCCCATGAGCTTGATCAGGCCTATCGTAGGCCCGATTATTTCAATCCTAATGAAGGTCACCGGGCCCATGATTGTTGGTTCCGGGCCAAGTATCATGAGAGGAACTATCGGAGGCCCGAGAATTTCTATGGTAATGAAGCTGGTGAAGAACAGAACAATGAAGTTGTCCATCCGAGCCTGTCTAGGCCCATGGATCTCAGTAGGCCCAAGAATTTAGATAACAATGAAGAACAAAACAATAATAAAGTTCTCGATCAAGATTGGGCCAGGCCCATGGATCCTAATGAAGTTCGTGATAAACCGAACAAGAATAACGCTGTCCATCCTAGCTGGGTCAGGCCCAGAGATCTCAACAATAAGCCTTATAAAAACAATGGGCCTGAGAATTTCAACCCAAATGAAGGTGATCAAGAGTGATTCGTTATTTATGTTGGGGGACTGAGAAATCTCTAAAATAAAAAATAATTTAAATTTCTTATATAGATCTAGTTAGAGTGGTTTGAGAGTGAGAGTGTTTGTTTGTATTTAAGTGCTTGTACCTATGTATGAAATATAAATCTTGTTACCTTTCCTTTACAATATTTGACTAGAAATATGATTCATTATTTAGTTGACGAAACTTACCAAAACAAAATCTAGTTAGGTGGAAGACTTATTGTTTCTCTTATTGAAATGTTTGATTACAATTTAACCGGAGCTCTGCTCTCGTATATTTATTGAGGTAAAATAAGACGGTAGAAGTAAGATTCGTTATAGTCAAGTGGTAATTCAATAGTTTAAATAACACAAATATCCCTTAAATGGATTGTTTTTAAATTTTTGTCTTCAACAATTGAACTTATGCCTAATAAAGAACAAGTTCTTTAGAAACTGAAACCATGCAGAGCATAACATGAGATAAATTATGATATAAAAAATATATATTTATGCCTCACAATTTTTATTTGTTACTAGAGTCATAAATTAAAGATTAGCACAAAATAAGGTCATAAGTGCCAATAACCCCAAAATCAATTATAATGAAAAACAAAATCTAGTATCTTCACAATGGTACGAGTTGATTGAGAATTGGGATTTGACTCTTGGAGAAGGGGTAACATTTAAATAAAAACAAATTATAAAAATATTACTTGGAGGATAAGATATTGAACTAAGTAATATTTATACACTATATATATAGAGATCATCCATCACGGCGATTAAAAGAAAAATCTTTGGTTGAATTTCAACAAACAAACAAATAAAAGATGGGCCTCTTCAGATTCATGTTGGGTACTCTGTGTGGAGTATATATTGCACAAAATTATACAGTGCCCAAAATCAATGAGTGGGCCCAATCTACATATGTGAAGGTTAGGGAGCTTGAGAAGGCCCACCGTAAAACACAGAATTTTGATGGATACAAACGAGGCCCATAAATATTCCAGGCCCAACTAAACCAGACTCGACCCCATCAATGGGTAAGGGGTAGAGACGACATTACCAAATTATGTATTTTACTAAGTTGG